AGTCTCACACTGTCACCCAGACTGGAGTGCAGTGGCCGCTCCCGGCCACCGCAGCCTCGACCTGCTGGGCTCCGGTGATCCTTCTGCCTCAGCCTTCCAAGTAGCCGGAATTACAGGCATGCGCTACCACGCCCGGCTGATTTTTTGATTTATTGTAGAGATGAGGTCTCGCTGCCCAGGCAGGTCACGAACCCGCAGGCTCAGGCAATCCACTCACCTCAGCCTCCCAAAGGCGCGGGATTACAGGCTGAGCCACCGAGCCCGGCAATTAACTCTTTTTTATTTAAGATTGTAAAATTGCAACTCTGCTCTGTACACACATTGTACATAGATAAGAATTTGATAATAAATCATATACAACTAAGAAGTTCATTTTGTTTTAGAATGAGAAAAATAAACTACACTTAAAGCAAATATAACAATGAACAGTATAATTGATTTTTAGCTATGGGAAGCAAAAATCAGGGAAAATAAAAGACAGGGGTCAGTATATGTGAGAGGGAATAGCAGGAGAGAACAAGACATTTATTAAACATTGATTTTATTTTATTTTAATTTATTTTATTTTATTTATTTGATTCAGAGTCTCACTCTGTCGCCCACGCTGAACTGCAGTGGCACGATCACAGCTCACTGCAGCCTTAAACTCCTGGGCTAAACAATCCTCCCATATCTCAGCCTACTGAGTAGCTTGGACTACATGCGCATACCACCATGCCTGGCCGATTTTTTGTAGAGATGAGGTCTTGCTATGTTGCCTAGTTGGTTTGGTACTCCTGGGCTCAGGCAATCCTCCCACCTCCGCCTCTCAAGGTGTTGAGATTACAGATGTGAGCCACCATGCCCAGCACACTGTTTTGTTTTTTGGTTTTTCTTTTAGATACTCTAATTTGTTAAACTGCTTAAAAATTTTATAAGAAGGTGCAATGTAGTATTTGTTTTAAAGATGAAAGAGTCAGCTGGGCTCAGTGGTTCAGCCTGTTATGTCAGCACTTTGGGAGGCCAAGGCAAGTGGATTGCCTGAGCCTGCGGGTTCAAGGCCAGCCTGAGCAACTTGGTGAGACCTTGTCTCTACAATAAATCAAAAATTAGCCAAGCATGGTAGTGTGTGCCTATGGTTCTGGCTACTTGGGAGGCTGAGGCAGAAGGATTGCCGGAACCCAGCAGAAGTGGCTATGAGCTTTCCACTGCACTCCAGCCTGGGCGACAGAATGAGCCTTCATCTCAAAAAAATTTTTTAAAAGATGAAAGAGTCAAACTCAGAACTAGGTGTAGTAGAGGGTTTATGTTTTCTCTGGAAATACCTGGATGAGTCAGTATTCAGTACAATTTCACTGTACAACATGTGGCCTATTTAAAGCTCTCCCTCATACCCTAAGATAAAATTGAGTTCTAAAACTTAAAACAGTATATTGGTTTTAAGTCTTGAAATTGAAATTTTTTTTTGAGTTGAAATTTGATCACTCTTCTCATCATCTAAATAAACTATACTGACAGTTCTTTTCTCACTAAGTCACCACGTTACAAAATTGACATTAAATATTTTAGTAACTTATATTGCCTCTAACTTGTGCCTCTTTTTGTTATTAAAAAGTCAGTGGATACCCCACGTTTTTTAAATAAAATAATTTTTTAAAAAATCAGTGGGGCCAGCCCCTCATAACAATTGCGTTAGTATATAACTTTCTAGTTTGGGTCTGTATTTCATTTTTTTCCACTTAACATAGCTGTATAGTTATTATTATCATCTTTACTTTCTGGGTACTGTTCTCCTGTATACTGATGTATTTTAAATAATTTCATCATTATTAAGTACTAATTGAAAAGGATTCAAGTTTTGGGAAATGGTAGATTACAGATTGAATTCTACCATTTAATTAACTTTATGACTTTGAACAGATTCTTGAGACTCAGTACACTTATTTGTAAAATTGAATTATAACATCTAGCTCACCTGTTTTTTTTTTTTTTTTTTTGAGTTGGAGTCTCATTCTGTCACCCAGGCTGGAGTGCAATAGCACACTCACAACGGCCACCACAGCCTCTGTTGGCTGGGCTCAGGCGATCCTTCCGCCTCAGCCTTCCAAATAGCCGGAATTATAGGCACACACTACCACACCTGGCTTGTTTTTTTTATTTATTGTAGAGACGAGGTCTCACCAAGTTGCCCAGGCTGGTCTTGAACCTCTGAGTTGAGGCAATCCTCTCACCTCAGCCTTCCAAAGTGCTGGGATTACAGGCTTGAGCCACTACGCCCTGCCCATCTAGCTCACCTTAAAGGTTGTTAGTATTTCTGTTCAGATGGGCAGTGTCAGTGCCCTTTGTTACAGGAAAGTATATCAAAATATATCAGCATAATTTCTGGGTCTCTGTATCTGTCCATTGGAGTTATTGATCTAGATATTAGGAAACGTTTTTGCCTTGCAAAATAGAGACTATTTGAATTTGTGCTTTGAAGAAGTCAATAAAATACTAATAACATTCACTGAGTTTTTCTTTTGTTGTTGTTTTTGAGCTGTGGTGTCCCTCTGTTTCCCAGGCTGGAGGATAGTGGCATGATCACAGCAGCCTCAAACTCCTGGGCTCAAGCAATCCTCCTGCCTCAGACTTCTGAGTAACTGGGATTACAGGGGTGTGTGGGATTACAGGGGTGTGACACCACATCTGGCTCATTTTTAAATTTTTTTTTTTGTAGAAACAAGGTCTCACTGTGCTTTCAGATTGATCTTGAACCCTGGGCTCATCTCAGCCTCCCAGAGTGCTGGGATTATAAGCATGAGCCACCATGCCAGTCTCACTGAGTTTTTAAGCCTCTAATTTTGAAACCTATATTTGACTGTAGTGGTTTTCTTCATAAATTTTATCCAGTGTAAATTCACAGCTTTAAGATCTGAGAGAAACATTGGTAAAGGAGATTAAAAGCCATCTAAAAAGAAGCAGCCGGGTGGGATGGTGCATACCTGTAGTCCCATTTACTGGGGGAGTTTGAGGTTCAGGGATCACTTGGGCTCAGGAATTTAAAAAGACTTATATGAAATGGAAGTCTTACAATGTTAAGCAATAAGATACAAGGATTACCATCTACAATAAAGCCTTGAAACATGTCCCATCTCCTTTTTTATATGCCAGCCACTGAGCTTGCCACATACTAAACTCTCCAAAATTTGTTGAATGAATGAAAAATGAACCAAAAATACATTTCTGCTTCCTGGTCTGCTGCTCATTTCTTAACCAGTTGGAATTTGGAATTTCTTTCTTTCTTTTTTTTAATTTAAAGATGGCGGGGTACAATTCAGGATTGGGTATACATGTGGTCATCATACAGGTAAAGCTTAGGCCTTCCGTTAGTCCCCATTTTGTCTGGTTTGAGATCAGGTACCCTTATTGATGTTGTGCCCCCACCTGGCAGTATCCTGCTATGGAATTACTTTCAAAACTGATATCACTTGCATCCACCTAATTGCCAAACACAACTTAGTTTGCACTCTAATTAACCTCCTATAGCATTTGGCTGTGCGAAATATCTTTGCTTTGTCCTAGTATTCATTTTTTTCATTTTTTTTTTTCTGCTACATTGGATTTTTTTTTTTTTTTTTTTGAGTTGGAGTCTCACTCTGTCACCTGGACTGGAGTACAGTGGCCACTCCCAGCCACTACAGCCTCGACCTGCTGGGCTCCTGTGATCCTTCCGCTTCAGCCTTCCAAGTAGCTGGAACTACAGGCATGCACTACCATGCCTGGCTAATTTTTTTGATTTATTGTAGAGATGAGGTCTCGCCAAGTTGCCCAGGCGAGTCTCGAACCCGTGGGCTGAAGCAATCCACTCACCTCAGCCTCCCAAAGCACGGGATTACAGGCTGAGCCACCGAGCCCGGCTTGGAATTTTTGGTATACACTAATTAGGTATATGTTCTTGATTCCCTTTTTACTACAAGCTTCTCACCCATCTTCATGGCTTTGCTTCTCTAACCTTTCACTTTCTAGCCTGAACTCTTCTAAATTCTAGATCCATATTCCTGTGTCTGCCTGGATATTTAGTAGACATCCCTAATTAAATTCAATGTGTTCCATTGTTATTACTGAGTCAGTACAATACACAGGTAAGGCATAGATGTCTGATTTTTTTTTTTTTTTTTTTCCTGTATTCACTGTCATAGTTAGTGATCTCTGCCCAAATTTAAGCAGCATCGCATAGCAATGCTGTTAGGGAGTGTGAGCTTTAGAATTAACAAATTTTAGTTCAGACCATGTCATGGGCATCATCTAAAACAGATGTGGCTCTTTCTGAGTCTCATCTTGAAACAGGTATAATAAATCTACCTTAGTTAATGTGATTAAATAAAATAATCACATTATTTTAAATAATCACAGCATAACACACCATCTGAATTTACTGCTTTCTAATACATAGTAAGCACTCAAATGTTCGTTTCCTCGTCTCTTCCCAAGTCATCTTGTCTTTATGGAATGTTCTAATACCCATCAACTGTCCCTTAGATTATAGCACCTAAAGGTTCTCATGCTGGTCTTTTGCTTGAATGATGGGTATACTGCTATATGGTTTAGTCTGTGCTCTAATTTTTGAAATAAATTATGATAATTTAAGTATAGACTATGGAGTGTTTTCTCAGAAGCTACACTAGTCTGTCTTGAGTGCTCATTTGGCTGTTTTTGTCTTTTGTTTCAAGTCAGTGAGTTGCTTACTGCTAAAATGATAAAGAACTACTTTTGGGGGGAATTAGGCAAGTAACTCTGGCGTAGGCTTTATTAAAATTTACTCTAACCTTTTAATGGCTAAAGAAGTAGTTCTCACTGTTGCTCATTCTTAAGATTTGTGATTTTGTTTTCTGTTTCGTTGAATCCCCTTTCTCTCCATTAAGATATAGAGAAATTAGTGGAACAATAATGAGCAGCTATCTTAATAAATTTTACAACATAGAATATGCCTTTTATACGTTAAGTTCCATGCATGTAGACCTTCGAGTTGCCACGTTTCAAAGATGTGTTTGCATGTCCAGTCATGTAAGTTAGTTCATGTGTCTGGCGTACATTGTCACTGTGCATACATCCTCTGCAAGTGGTTGTACTTTTGTGTGCTTTACTGTATACACTGTATACTGTATAGAGTGCAATAGTAAAGTATCTTTATTTCCAGCCCAGGATGTCTGGAAGCAAGTGAAAAGCAGCAGTGATATAGCTGATATTGTATAGCCAATTGTGTTAGTTGTGTTTTTTTATCATGTTGGTAAATGAGATAATATAATGAAGATTGTGACCTTAGTTATTTAAAGCATCCCTTTATTAGAATGAATTTCTATGTTAATATCTTTTTTTTTTTTTTTTTTTTTTTGCGTTGGAGTCTCACTCTGTTACCCAGACTGGAGTGCAGTGGCTGCTCCCTACCACCGCAACCTCGACCTGCTGGGCTCCGGCGATCCTTCCGCCTCCTCCTTCCAAGTAGCTGGAACTACAGGCACGCGCTACCATACCCAGCTAATTTTTGATTTATTGTAGAGATGAGGTCTCACCAAGTTGCCCGGGTGGGTCTCGAACCCGTGAGCTCAGGCAATCCACTCGCCTCAGCCTCCCAAAGCGCTGGATTACAGTCTGAGCCACTGAGCCCGGCTTCTATGTTAATATCTTAATGTTTTTCCCATTTTTTATATCTTAGTATTTATGGAGAAATTCTACCATTTTCTGCTTAAATATAATATCTGGTTCTTATTGATTATATGTGACTTTTTTCCTTCTTTAAAATTATTGTACTGGTGTCTTATGGTTTTGAAAGATGTGAAAATTGTCTCAATTTTTAGGATACACTACCAGAAAGGGCTGTTTACTCTGGGAAAAGAAAACTCTTTTATTCTTTAGGCTAGCCTTTTAGCTAGTGGTGTAGTAAAGGTTCATATCCTAGATGTCTGTATTTGAAATATTGACATGAATTGGAAAGAATGGAAGTGTGATTCACATGAGGTTGATAATGCTTTAAAGTCCTAGGTGAGGTCAAGCACGGTGGCTTCCACCTGTAATCCCAGCACTTTGGGAGGCAGAGGTAAGAGATTGCCTGAGCCCAGGAGTTCTAGACTAGCCTGGGCAACTTGGTGAGACCTCATCTCTACAATAAATAAATAAAAACTTAGCTGGGGGGTGGTGGTGGTGTGTGCCTGTAGTACTGGTTAATTGGAAGACTGAGGCAGAAGGTTCACCTGAACCTAGCAGGTTAAGGCTACAGTGGCCGTGATCATGCCACTGCACAGGCAACAGAGTGAGACTCTGACTCAAAAAAAAGTGCCCCAGGTGGAATGTGTGCTTATGGTTAAACAAAACAAAAACAAGAATTAAAGAGATTATATACAAATAACGTCAGGCTTTTATCTTTATTACCCTCTGTGGACTCTTATTATGTCTTGATTGGATTTAAACCTTTTGGGAGAAAGAATATAAACGAATGGTGACATCTCATGGGAGCACCTGATTGCTTATATTCAGTGTTGTGAGAGTTGTTAAATTTGGTGTTCACCTTTTTAATCATGGGCTATTGTTTTTAATCTGTGACTGAAGAAATTGTGAATTCCTATACTTACATCACAGATTATTGGAACTTTAGAATAATGGCATTTTAAATTTCTTACCTGATTTCATACATATTTTTCTCCAAATTAACCTTAGGATTATTTGAAGTTCTTCAAAATCTCTGTGAGATTTGGATTTAATTTACATTTAATATTGACAGAATTGTACTGTTACCACATTTGGTCTAGGAACATTGTGTGTTTGTCTCCACTCAGATAATTTTTGAGTTTTTTGTAAAAGTTTTATAATATTTTTCTGCTGCAGGTTTTGAAAATTTCTTAATGTTTTTTCCCCTAGTTTTGTGATTTTATTTTATTTTTTTGCTATGTTTAATGTCTTTTCCCATTGTATTTCTAAGTGGCGATTCAAATATATGAAAAAGATGTTTTTATTTACTAGACAAATTGTTAAACTTTTCGTTCCAAAAGTTTGTTATTCTCTTAGTTAATAGACTGCAGATACTTTTATGGAATAGGGCAGTAGACCTCTAAAAATACCTTATAAGTTTTTTTTTTTCTTTTGTTTTTTAAGCTCTTTTCACTTATGGATATGAAACCTCCCATCTCTAGAGCCAAGATGATTCTCATCACTAAAGCTGCTATTAAAGCAATTAAGGTAAGAATAAAATAAATATTCAATTTGGGAACTGTTTTTTAAATTGTGAAAAGTTATTATTAAACATGAGACTTCATCTTGTGAATTAGTTCAGGCCAAATCAAAGGTTTTGCTAAAGGTATGTGATAATACCTTAAATTTTCATTATAACAGATTCTTTCGAAAGGTTTTAAAATTTCATTTAATCTTTGCAATAAACCAGCTGAATATTTTTATTTGAAGAGGAAAACAACAAAATTTAAACTTTATGAAATTAAATGTCTTACGGGGGGACTCAAGAAAACAATTTATTTATTAAAAATTATGTATTCTTATATGTTTAAACTTCAGTCACCTCCAAAGTACTCTTCATTTGATGCAATACACCTATCAAAATGTTTTATCCATTGCCCAAAACAATTTTTGAACTCGTCCGTTTTGATGCCTTTAGTGCTTCTGTCATTTTCCTGTTTTACCACGTCCACATCAGCAAAATGTGTCCTTTTGAAAGTTTTTTCATCTGGGGAAACAAACAAAAAAACGTTGCTTGGAGTAAGAAGGAGGGTGCAGAGGAGTCATGCAGTTTTGATCGAACACTCTGTGCAGTATGGGCCCGTGCATTGTTCTGGTGGAAGAACCAATCACCTACTTGCTACAACTCAGGATGTTTCTTTTGCAAATCAGAGCATCCAGATAAAAACCTCTGGGATTCTAGAACACTTACCTAGCAAGGAAAGTCTATACTACAAAGGGATTGACCTCCAAAAGATAATTCCAGGGTTTTTTGGGTCCCTCCCTCATATCTAGGGTCACACATTGAGTGACTCATTTTTTAGAAACTGCATTGTTTAGTTCTGATTTCATTGGTCTTATACTTCTTATAAGGTTATTAAATATCCTGTTATGAAGGTATATTGGTTTTTAAAACCTAAGAAAAGGACTGTTTCGGGAATTTTGTAGTTTTCTGTTAATTTTTTTCTGGTTTGTTTAAAATATTTTTCAGTTGCTGCTTATGGATTGTTCTTCATGGTTCATTCAGTATTATCTTGATACTTATTTAAATTGTACAAATGTCAAGGTTTTAGATATTTTCTAATTATAAGAACTGTATATAAACTGTAATTTTCTTTTAATTTTCAGCTTTATAAGCATGTAGTTCAAATAGTAGAAAAGTTCATCAAAAAGGTAACTATCTGTTTTGTTACTTCATTTTAGCTATGATGCATATTTGTAGTTTACTTTGTAAATTGCATTTGGGATGCTTGCTTATAAAGCCACTTTATAAAAAAAAATAGTCACTAGAGGTTCTTTTTTTTCTGGGTGTTTCATCGTTGATGTTTATTGCAAAGGTTTTTCATTCTCTAGCTCAGAATAGCAACTTGGTTACTTAAAGAGAGAGGCAGGTAAAGGACTGTAGAAGCAGGGACTGTGGTGACCCAAACATTGTGTGCCCCACCTAAGAGATTCCAACCACTGGAAATGGCCAGGTGGAAGTGCCAGCCCAGTGTTGCCAGACATGGATTTTTTGAGACGAGGCCAGCAAACTATTCTCATGTGAAACCTTTTTTTTTTTTTTTTTTTTTTTGAGAGAGAGAGAGAGAGAGACGGTCTTGCTCTGTTGTCCAGGCTGGAGTGCAGTAGCATGATCATAGCTTACTTCAGCCTTGAACTCCTGGGCTAAAATGATCCTCCCACCTTGGCCTCCCCAAGTGCTGGGATTACAAACTTGGGCTGCCTTGCCCAGCCAGGTAAAATCTTATTTCTAAATGCCGGCTACAAATTTAATAATTTAAGAATTACGAGCCGGGCTTGGTGGCTCAGCCTGTAATCCCACGCTTGGGAGGCTGAGGTGAGTGGGTTGCCTGAGCCCGCGGGTTCGAGACCCGCCTGGGCAGGCGAGACCTCATCTCTACAATAAATCAAAAAATTAGCTGGGCATGGTAGCGCGTACCTGTAGTTCCAGCTACTTGGAAGCCTGAAACAGAAGGATCTCCGGATCCCAGCAGGTTGAGGCTGTGGTGGCCGGGAGCGTGCCACTGCACGCTAGTCTGGGTGTGACAGAGCCTCCAACTCAAAAAAAAAAAAAAAAATTACGTGCACCTGTGGTTCCAGCTACTTGGAAGGCTGAGGCAAAAGAATCACCAGAGCCCAGCAGGTCAAGGCGATGACCATGAGAGTGCCACTGCACTCCAGTCTGGGTGACAGAGTCAGATTCCAACTTAAGAAATAATAATAATAATTAAATAAGACTGTACGGACCTTACAAAATATATCTGTGGGCCTGTTTGGACTTTTTGGTTTAGAGTGTCTTTCTGTGTCAGATACACATCCACTTGGACGCATTCACACATGCAGGACTTTTTAGAGGAGTAGTTCTCAAACTTTTGCTTTTAAAACCCCTTTACACTTAAAAATTATTGAAACCTTAGAGGTTCTTCTTTTTTTTTTTTTTTTTTTTTTTTTTTTGAGTCAGAGTCTCACTGTTGCCCAGGCTGGAGTGCAATGGCACGCCCACGGCCACCCCAGCGTCAACCTACTGGGCTCAGGCAATCCCTCCGTCCCAGCTAGAGATTCTTTTTTAATCACTAAAAGTTTAAAAACAAATTTATAGTAATACCATGGATTAAGTACTTATGGTGAGCTTAGCACTCAACTCACAATAGTTTTTTTGTCTCTTTGAGCAGGAACCTTCCCCTAAGTCTGAATGCGTGCTTTGCCCTTTGCCCTGTCTACTCTGTTGACATATAACTCACTTTTGAGTATTTTAAATAAAATTACTTTGTAAATTTTCCCAACTTTTCCCTGCTCTTATCACAATTCTTTTTCATTCTACAGTTGTTTGTTGTTTATGACTGTGATTAGCACACAATCTGTCTCAATAGAGAACTGAGAACAGAGATAAACACCTTGTGGTACGTACTAATAAAAGTCTGTGGAAATGTCAACCAGATGAAGTAGCTCACGCCTGTAATCCCAGCACTTTAGAAGGCAGAGATGAAAGGATTGCCTGAGTCCAGGGGCTCAAGACCAGCCTGGGCAACTTGGCAAGACCTCATCTATACAATACATTTTTTAAAAAAGTAAAGAAAAGAATTATCCAGGCGTGGTAGCAGGTGCCTGTAGTTCCAGCTACTTGAGACGCTGAGGCGAAAGGATTGCCTGAGCCCCGCAGGTTGAGGCTGCAGTGACCATGAGCATGCCACTGCACTCTAGCCTAGGTGACAGAGTGAGACTCCTATTTAAAAAAATTTTTTTTTTAAAGTTTATGTAACAGTTTCTAATTCATGGCCTTTTCATACTTGTTTAAGTATAAAAGTTAGAGCTCCAGCAGACCAAAACAAGTAGTTAGTAGAAATTTTTAATAATAGCAAATCAAAGTACAAATAAATAGAAAAAAATATATAGGAAAAAATTAAATTTACCTACATACCACTGCCTCCAAATTACCACAGTATTTATGTTTGAATTTATTTTTATTTGTGTACTTATGCATTTATAAAAGGAAAATAGAGACATTGCAGGTTGTTAACCTGGTTTTGCCATTTAGTTTGTCATAAACATTTGCAAAGTATTCCTTTGTATGGATTGTTACCGTGATATACTGAGCCATTTCTACATAGTTGGATAGTTACATAGTTCGGAGTTTTTACTTTTTATTAAAAGTGCTTCCGTGGCTAACCTTATGGAAAAAATTAGATACATCTTAATTGTTTTCCTTAGTGTAAATTTCTAGATATAGAGTTGTTGGATCAAAGAAGACTTTATTTTTATTGCTAAATTGTCTTCCATAGAGGGTTGTACTTTGCCTGTTTTTCTCTGCTATTCTTTTTATCTTTGTTAATTTGATCAGCCAAAGATGACTTCTTTTTAATTTTTATTTCTCTGGTACTGTAGCTGATATAAAATTGTTTAATATAATTTTGAAAGATAAAAATGATCTTTTCTAGTAGGACGATATTGCAATTGAGATTGCCATAAGTGAACTTTTAAGGAAGTAGCTTAGGGATTGGTAATGTTGATCCTGGGATATTGTGTGGGGAGATAGAGGGATCAGAGAAGAGTAAAATCTTGGCAGTCAAAAGTATCAAGAGAATGATAGTTCTGTATAGACATGTGGGAAATTTGACAATTAGCCAGTTAGAGAATGGAAACATTCAGGTAGTTTTTAAACCATCATTAGATGGATATAAGAAGTCTCATCAATGTGAGATGAATCGATGTCAAGTTGTGACTTTGTTTCTCTTGTACTGACTTTACACCTTTATCCTTGCAGTGTAAACCAGAGTACAAGGTTCCAGGATTATATGTAATTGACTCAATTGTGCGACAGTCCCGTCATCAGTTTGGAACCGATAAAGATGTTTTTGGGCCAAGATTCTCTAAAAACATTACCGCCACATTCCAGTATTTATATCTTTGTCCATCTGAAGATAAGGTATAGTTAATTGTTAAACTAAAACTTATATTCTTGTTGGTTTTGTATTTATTTTCACAGTCATTTAAATGTATGCTAGATATTTGAAGCCTACTGTATTACTAGATAAGATCTTCATGTATTGATCTCTGTGAGTTTATAACAAAACCCAGTTTTTTGTTTAGTGGTCATTTTATATTTCTCTATTTTCTTATGAGGTCCTTTAGGGATGTTGTACTGTTTAAATATGAAAGGAACCAAATTTGTAGAATGAAAAAGCAGAATGGCCGTTATCAGGGGCTGAGAGTAGGGGAAAGTGGGATATTGCCAATCAACAGATATAAAATTTCAAGTTAAGCAAGATGAATAAGTTTTAGAGATCTGCTACACAACATTGTGCCTATAGTTAACAGTTCTGTATTGTACACTTAAAAATTCGTTAAGAAGTTATATCTCATATTAAGTGTTCTTACCACAATAAAATAAAAATAGTTTAAAATATATGAAAGTAGCATCATCTTGCTATTGTTGGTTAAATTTGCTTATATAGTTGAGTGATGTATACTTAAGTGATGAAAAAATCCGTCAGTAGAGAAAAAGGTAGTGTTCATCTCAGGTTGTTGTTTATTCCAGAAAGAAAGAGCCAATAATTGATGTTCTTCCCTAACATATAGAGGTGCTAGAGCATACATAGTATTTGTTAGCAATCTTACTACAGTATTTAATTTCTCATCTATATAGCTGTTCTTACGATGTATTTACAAAGGGTAAGTACTTACAGATATAGTTAGTAACAACTATAAATAAGTGGGGGAATTATACTTGTAAACATACTCAGAATAATGAAGAATGCAGACATTTACAGTAAATGGCATACAAATTTGCGTGTTACATATTCTGTGTTTATATTCTTAGAGGAGTGCTCTTGTGGGAAAAATACACAAAACAACCAGGGTGATTCCTTTAGTAGGAGATAAAAGTCGTACCCATGAAGACGACATTGTCTCTGAATCTCCTTTGCATATTTATTTGGCCACAAAACTATTTACCTTTTGATCACAGATCAATTTCATCAATATTTTAGCTGTTAAATTATTCTGAAGAAATTCTTCACTTCATTTACTTCTCTAAGATAACTTTTTTATTAATTAATGATGGAGTTTCTTTGTAAACATAAATAAAATGTAATGAAAACGTCAATATATTTCTTCTTATTCTTTAGTTCTGTATTCCATCTCTGTTTCTTATTCTAGATGATACCACTGAAGAAAAGCTAATTAGAGTAGTTTAACAAGGTTGTAACTGATGGATTTTTTTTCCCCCTGTTTATGAAACAGACTTAGTATGGAAAAGTTAGTCTAGGAAGTTTTCCTTCTTTTTTGTAAGATGTAGAATACATTATTCAAATATTTATTAAATATTCATGTTTCCTCACACATAACAGAGTAAAATAGTTCGTGTGCTGAACCTTTGGCAAAAAAATGGAGTGTTCAAAATTGAAATTATTCAACCTCTTTTGGACATGGCAGCAGGAACCAGTAATACCGCCCCAGTAGCAGAAAGTGTTACCAACAATGAAGGTATAGTATAGTCAAGTGTATCTGTGATCTTAGATAATGGTATCTTTTCCGTACATGAAAGGCTTAGAGTTTATTTATATTGGTAGAATTTTTCTGTAAAAAGGAAACTTGAGTTTGCATCTTGGAAAGTATAATTTTCTTTTTGTAATTCCTTTTTTTTCTTTTTTTGAGTCAGAATATCACTCTGTTACCCAGGCTGGAGTGTAGTGGTACCATCACAGCCACTGCAGCCTCTCCTGCTGGGCTCAGTCAATCCTTCTGCCTCAGTCTTTCAAGTAACTGGAACTACAGGCACATACTTATTTAGGTATTTATTGTGCAGATGAGGTCTCACTGAGTTACCCAGGCTGGTCTCAAAAACTCCTGGGCTCAGGCAATCCTCTTGCCTTGGCTTCCCAAAGTATTGTGGGGTTACAGGCATGAGGCATCGTGCCCGGCCAGTATAATTCCTATTTCTGATAAAAATATACATTCTAATAGTTGTTGTAGTATAAACCCCAGTACCATAATCTATATGTTAAACTGAATGGAATTTTATTTTAGCACAGAAACTTGCTAGAGTTTAAAAAGGGAAGCTTAGAGGTTAACATTTTCTTAAGGCCTTAATGCTTTTATTTTATTTTATTTTTTTAGGCTCACCTCCACCTCCGGTAAAAGTTTCTTCTGAACCCCCACAAACCACTCCAAACTCCATCCCCACTGTACCACAGTTACCCAGCTCTGATGCCTTTGCTGCTGTGGCTCAACTGTTTCAGACAACTCAAGGCCAACAGGTAAACGGTCTTCTCAAAGGTGAAATTATCTGCAGGGATAGGCACTGTTGTCAGTTCTTGTTTTTCATTCCTCACCAGTGAGCACATTGAAGGGAGAAAATATGTCTGCTTTTCAACTAGAAAAGCCCTCACGAAAGAGGTAATGATGTAGGGGTATTATTTACCTTGGTCACAATTTAGTGTTTTTTTCCTTCTCTTTTACCATCATTTTATATCATTGAGGATGTCAGCATACATTTTAACCCTAAGTATACACTTTGTGTTTCTCTCTATATTCATTCACAACAAACCTTTAACCATCAGTAAAAGGATGTTCTTCCAGTTTATTCTGTGCCTGTGCTATTTTGAGTCACCTTCAACATATTTTTAGTAAATTATTTTTTGATACTATCTATGATTATACTTTGTTGTGTGGTTTTTATGAGTTTTCCCATTCTTTAAGCTTCAGCAGATCCTTCAGACTTTTCAACAACCTCCAAAACCACAGTCTCCCGCCCTTGACAATGCTGTGATGGCTCAGGTTCAGGCTATCACAGCTCAGTTAAAGACAACTCCTACACAACCACCTGAACAAAAAGCTGCTTTCCCCCCACCTGAACAAAAAACTGCATTTGACAAGGTATGCTTTTCTCACATAATTCAACCCCGTTTATATCACTCAACTTGGATCATGGCAGTTATCCCTTCTGTATTTTCTGTGGATTCTTATTTTATTGTTTTGTGGTTTGAGGGATTTTCCCCCTCAACACGAAAACATTGATTATTTTTCCTGGTTTTAAATATGCTATATGCTCACTGCAAAATTTTTCTGGGAGAAAAGAAAACAGAAAATTCTTCATTAACTCCATACTTTAGTGTTACTGTAACATTTTGCTTTATATCTTTGCAGAATTAGTTTCTTGTGAATATATGCTTTTCTTTAATTGGTCATAATACAAGCCTTCTTGTTTTCATCTTAATGTTCTTGTCTGTTTTTGTTAAGATTAATAATGAATTTAGATCTACATTTTTACTGTATGCATATAATATGTAGTATGCCGTTACATGGACACATTACAATTTATCCATTCCACTACTGATAGACATTCAAGTTACTTTCCGTTTTTTGCTCTTAAAACACCTTAGTTAACATGACTAAAACATGAGGGTTTAGAAACTAGCCAGGCATGGTGGTACATGCCTAAAGTCCCAGCTTCTCTGGAGGTTGAGGGAAAAGGAGGCTCACTTGATCCCAGGAGTTCAGGGCTACAGTGACCTATGATTGCACCACTGCACTCCAACCTGGGCAGCAGAGCAAGACCATCTCTCTAAAGAACAAGCAAAACAAGAAAGTTTGGGTTGGTTCACTGTCTTTCAGCTTCTCCGTTGGGTCTGTGGTTCCTTAGACATACTTTAAAAGTTGCCACTAAGACTATGGGTATGCTGAACATGCACAACTCACAGCTTCAAACTTGAAATTTTAACCCAGGCTGCTTCACTCTTATCTGTTTTATCTGTTTATTATGTTTATCGTGTTACAAAATTTCATTTCACTTTTCAGGTTCTATTACAACAAAACAAAAGTTTGAAAATCAGACCTAAATTGTATCTTTGGTTTCATTATCTCTAAAATTTTATTCTTTCCAACATTCTAAGATAGAATAGCTATTGCCAGTAGTCCAGACTTAAAATTAATATAGTAAATAATGATTTTCATTACATTTTAGTGATTTGTCAGTCAATTTCTACTGACTAAAAGAATGTTGGATAAGGCCAGACACAGTGGCTCACTCCTGTAATCCCAGCATTTTGGGAGACCATGATGGATTGCTTTAAACCCAGGAGTTCAAGACCAGCCTGAGCAACATAGCAAGACCTCATCTCTATAGAAAATAAAAAAATAGCCAGGCTTGGTGGTACATGCCTGTAGTCCCAGCTACTTGGGAGACTGAGGCAGAAGGATCATCTGAATGAACCCAGGAGTTTGAGGCTGTGGTGAGCCATGGCTGTGCCACTGCACTCCAGCCTGGGCAGCAGAGTGAGACTCCAACTCAGAAAAAAAGAAAATTGGATGAATTTTTGAGTACAAAGGAATACAGACTTGTAGGGGGGAAAATACACATAAATAACACAGGAATTTATAAAGTAAAAAGAGAAACAATTTTATATAAGTTTGAACAGACTTGTTTGTATATTTTTTTCACGTCTATTTCAATGCACATATGAACATAAATGCTCGTATATGTGGTTTTATTAGTCTTTTATTCTATGTTGTGATTAGGAAAATTCTCCTCAGCTGTATTTTTAAGAGAATTCTATATTTTCTTCTAGTAGTTTTTTGGTTTTTTGTTTTGAGTCTGTGTCTCACTCTGTCACCCAGGCTAGAGTGCAATTTTTGTAGAGACGAGTTCTCGCCAAGTTGCCCAGGCGGGTCTCGAACCCGCAGGCTCAGGCAATCTACTCACCTCAGCCTCCCAAAGCGCGGGATTACAGGCTGAGCCACCAAGCCCGACTCAGTTCTGATTCTTAAGGCCATCAGTTGATTAGGTGAGGCCCACTCCTTATGTAGGGTAACCTGCTTTACCTGAAGCCTACTGATTTAAATGTTAATCTCATCTAAAAAAACACCTTCACAGCAACATCTAGATTAGTATTTGACGAAACAACTGAACACTAGCAAGGTTGACACATAAAATTAAATTCCAGCATGCTTTTTCAGATAAACTTTATCATAAATATTAGAATTCTTTGATTGGGTAGGTTAGTTTAGGAAAAGCCATGATAGTGGGCATCCTTGTTAATTTCAATTGTAATTCCTCTAGTGTTTTACCTTGTCAGCCAGCATTTGTTAATTATACCAAATTTAGAAAAAGGAATTCTTTGCTTTTTCTTTGAGTAAAAAGGTCTGTTTTAAGCAAATCACTGAGGATGATTTGTCAATTTCAGCTGCTTCGTGGATATTCAATTTCCTAAAAAGCAACAAAAATTTCTTTGTGGAGAGACCCCAGTTTCATTTTTTAGTTGCTTCAAGTTGTTTTTTCTAAAGCAATAGGTACAAATCTTCAAGCTGTAAAGAACATATTTATGTATGATAAACTGCCAAGATCTTAAGTTTTGTTTTTATAGGCAGCTTTTTTTTCTTTCTTTTTTTGAGTTGAAGTCTCACTCTGTCACCCAGGCTGGAGTGCAGTGGCACACTCACGGCTACCCCATCATCAACCTGCTGGGCTCTGGCAATCCTTCCACCTCAGCCTTCCAAATAGCTAGAACTACAGGCGTGCACTATCACACCCGGCTAATTTTTTTTTAGTTTTTGTAGAAATGAGGTCTTGCCAAGTTGTCCGGGCTGGTCTCGAACCCACAACCTCAGGCAATCCACTCAAAGTGCTGGAATTACAGACTGAGCTACTGAGCTCAGCCTTTATAGACAGTTTTAACCAAAATTTTCATTTTGGTTCCTGTCTCTTACTATCCTGATGTTAAGTTACTTAACTTTTAGGTGTTCACCACTGTAAGATAATGATGGCAGTAAATATAGTTTATTGTTGCCATGAGAGTTAAATAAGCTAATGTGTGTAAAACAGTAAGAGGCTGGGGCTTATGGTTCATGTTTAGAAAATATTAGCTTGCTAATTTATAAGAACTTTCAATCAGTTCTAGAATTATGAAGAAAAAACATACACAAAAAGTAGCTCTTTCCCAAAATACTCTTTACACTTGGTTTAGTTCAATAGACTGTGTTGTCCAAGGGGTGGACTTTCCTTCCTAATTTAAAAATCTGTTGTTCAGTGAAGTAGAACCAGAATCTCTAGGTAGAACTACAAGGGATGCCAAAATAATGTACGTGCAATTTAAGAGATTTTACTGCCAGGCTTGGTGGCTCAGCCTGTAATCCCAGCGCTTTGGGAGACTGAGGTGCGTGGATTGCCTAAGCCCGCGGGTTCGAGACCCGCCTGAGCAACATGGCAAGACCTCATCTCTACAATAAATCAAAAATTAGCCAGGTGTGGTAGCACGCGCTTATAGTTCCAGCTACTTGGAAGGCTGAGGCAGAAGGATCGCTGGAGCCCAGCAGGTCAAGGCTGCGGTGGCTGGGAGTGGCCACTGCACTCCAGTCTGGGTGACAGAGTGAGACTCTAACTCAAAAAAAAAAAGAGAGATGTTATCTGCGTATTACTTTTTTGAAGTTGAATTAAATTACAGTGTCAGTGTGTAGCATGATGTTCGCTCAACCGTGCTTCTGCCATTTTCTTTGACTATTCTGTTTGTTGATTGGTGACTTGAGCTTTCATTTGACTATCGCCATCTTTGGAGCAGACATCACACTTAAAATGGCACCCCTATATTGTAGAGCAACACAAGTTTAGGAATTTGAGGTTGAAATTTATGAGTAGAAAGAACACAGCTTGAAAGAAAAGATGGTTTGTTGGAGGCCAGAGACTGAAGACTTTGAAGTCAAAAAGACCAGTGTTCACATCCTGATTCTATTATTCATTGACTGTACAGTCTTAATTATGTTTGGTTTTTTTTTCTTTTGGAGTCAGAGTCTCACTGTCACCCAGGCTAGAGTTCAGAGGCACAACTGCAGCCTCCTCAGCCTTGACCTCCTGGGCTCAGGCAATCCTTCCACGTCAGACTTCCAAGTAGCCAGAACTATAGTCACACACCACCACACCTGGCTGATTATTTTGATTTACAGTAGAGACACGGTCTCGCCAAGTTGCCCAGGCTGGTCTTGAACCTCTGGGTTCAGGCAATCCTCTTGCCTCTGCCTCCCAAAGTGCTGGAATTACAGGCCTGAACCACCATACCTGGCTTAATTATGTTTCTTAATCACCTGAACCTTAGTTTCTTTGTCTGTAAAAAGAAGAAACATTGCAAGGTTCTTGTGATGATGGTCTTTATGATCTTGACTTCACATTAGTAGGTATCCCGTGTTACCTTTTGGATAAATCTTATTTTAAATAGCTGTTCTTCTAGTCATGTGATCTCGTAAAAATGTCCTTTTTTTTTTTTTTTTAAATATGTTTCTGGTAAGCGGTGACTTTTAAAAAACTAGTGAACTGGTGGTGAGACTTCTTCGTGCCCCATTCTATGCCATTCTTTTTTTTTCATATTAGTATATTCTTGAGCAAGTGGTATATGGACATCTTTCTATATGCATTATAGTGTTTAGATAAGACAGTTTTTCTTTTTGTACATTTTACAACTGACTGAAAGTATGCACCCATTTCATGTGTACAAAGTTCCAACGGTTTCTAGTCTAGGTAAATGGTAAATGAATATTTTAGGAGAATATGTGTACTGCTAAATGAAATATGAAATAAGCGGTAGAAAGTAGAAAACACTACACTTATTATTGGAAGGAAAGCAGAATGAAAATTACATCTTTTCCACAATGGCATTTGTGTGAAAATTGCTTATGAACCCATGGTCCTCAGGGGCATGTGGGAAAATGAGACTGTATATGACAGTGTGGTGGTCATAAACATCTGTTGTTTTTATAAAGTTCTTTGTGTAATGTATCCGTCTAAATTTTTAAACGAATGTTGACATCTTTATTCCAGAAGCTGCTTGATAGATTTGATTATGATGATGAGCCAGAAGCTGTAGAAGAATCAAAGAAAGAGGATGCTGCTGCCGTCACCACGACAGCGCCTGCTGCTGCTGTGCCTCCCACACCCGCCACCGCCGTGCCGGCTGCCGCTGCACCCACTGCTGCCTCGCCGCCTCCTCCACAGGCACCATTGTGAGTTGAGTTTTTTTATTCTGACACGTATAGAGTTGGTAATAGTTGTAAAGCTTAATGTAAGTAACACTTAGCAATGAAAACAATTTCCAGTGGATCAATTTTGTAAAATTTGTGGTGGTGTGGATTTTCTCCTGAATGGGGAGGGCATCCTATCAGATTTAGAATTTAAAATGTCTGTTTGGGCAATTTGGATTCCCTCCCACTGTGGAAGCTTTCCTGTCCTCTCAATAAATCCTCCTTTCTTAAAATAAAATAAAATGAAATGAAATAAAATGACTGTTATGTTAGGAATAATACTGAGTATATAAATTAATATATGGTAAATATATGATTCAGTAAAATGTTGAAATGACTCCTGAACAACACTCTGTGTTTCTGTAGTATAAACGTGACTGAGAATCTTGTGCTTTTTAATGGGTAAAAAGATTACATACCTTTTTTAGTGGGTTTCCTGGAGATGGCATGCAGCAGCCAGCATACACACAGCATCAAAATATGGATCAGTTTCAACCTCGAATGATGGGAATGCAACAGGATCCAATGCATCATCAGGTACAAGCATTTTTCTTGCAGTTAAGTTTTAGTAACTCCAGATCTGTTTGTTAGTGCACAGGGTTTGTACTTCACAGACCACTACTTAGCTATGTGATTGGCTATGTAGTACTATAGCTCCCATAAAAGCTGTTGGAACACATAACTATCTTGAGTTGCGTTTGCTTTCATTAAAATAAAGATGCTAAATATTGCATGCTCATATTTTTAATAATGAGTATTTCAGTTAAAATAGACCAGAGAGAGATTACAGTTCTGTTTAAAGAAACTGACCTATTTAGTTATACAATTCTTTCCCATACAGGTGCCTTTTTTCTGTGTGTTGTGTGATGAGATACTTTAGGGGGGCTTTCAGATCTCAACATTCAGGAATATAGCTTCAAATTCACAACAAAAGGAGCATACATAGCACACTAGAGAGTTGTGGGAAGCTAGTAGAGATTTGTTCATTGGGTATGTTCTATTAAATTCTCTAATTCAGAGGGAGTTTTTTGGTTTTTGTTTTTTTGAGTCTCACTCTGTTGCCCAGGCTGGATTGCAATGGCACACTCATGACCACTACAGCCTCAACCCACTGTGCTCCTTCTACCTCAGCCTTCCAAGTAATTGGAACCACAGGCACATGCCACCACACCCAGCTCATTTTTTATTTATTATAGAGATGAGGTCTCGCCAAGTTGCCCAGGCTAATCTCAAACCCCTGGGCGCCTCAGGCAGTTCTGTCACCTCGACCTCCCTAAATGCTGGGATTACAGGCGTGACTCACCGTGCCTGGCTCAGAGTTTCTTAAATTTGGCTGTACGGCTAAATTATGCGAGCAGGGAGGAACATTTTTTGAAAACAGATCCTGTCCCTCCAGTGCTGTGATTTATTCCAAATAATCTGTTTTGTAAATTTTGCAATGATTCTGTTGTACAGCCATCCTTCGGAAATGCTGCTTTACAGCCTTTGTTTACAAAAGGTTTGAGAAATCTCTTTACAGTGTATTTATTTTCTTATTCACATTGTGTTCAGTCCATTTCATATATTTGGTAATGTGAAATTGATAGTGATTTTAATGACTTGTTGATTAATGTAGTTTGAAAAGTTTTTTATAAGCCTGTTTAAATTATAAAGAAAACCTATGAACATGTTTTCAAGTATTTAACAATTACTGAAAGTTTATAAATGAGTTAGAAAGAATATTTTGTGACATAACTATTATAGTTTCGTTTTATTTGTGTTTAAATTGTACATGCAGAAATATCTTAAGTTATAGTTTACTCTCATTATTATTATGGTACTTAATTTGAAACCCTAAAAGTGGAGTATGTTAGTTGAAATTTTTCCTTGGTAAATTTTTTTTTAAGTAAACTTAGAAGTCATGCTTCTAATCACCTCAAAAGGCTTAATTGCCTTTAAAGCTAAAAGAAACCATTTGCAAGAGTACTTCTGACATTAAGTTCAGTTTATCACAATTACTTTCTTTTGTAAATGAAGGTATTTTCTTTTTTTTTTTGAGTTAGAGTTTCACTCTGTCACCCACACTGTAGTGCAGTGGCACGCTCCTAGCCACCGCAGCCTCAACCTGCTGGGCTCCGGCAATCCTTCTGCCTCAGCCTTCCAAGTAGCTGGAACTACAGGCGTGTACTACCACGCCTGGCTAATTTTTTGATTTATTGTAGAGATGAGGTCTCACCAAGTTGCCCAGGTGGGTCTCAAACCCTCGGGCTCAGGCATTCCACTCACCTCAGCCTCCCAAAGCACGGGATTACAGGCTGAGCCACCAAACCCGGCTGAAGCTAATATTTAAAACCAAACTTGTGTATTTGTAATTTTTAAATGAGTGATAGATTTTTAACCTATATGCTTGATATGGAACAATTCTTTGGATAAAGGTTGTACATAAGGAAACTGCTAAACAGTGTCAAATGTCATTGTAGCTTTTCCTTGATCAAAGTTTATTGAAGATATTCCAGTTTTATATAAGTAACTAAGAATTTTCCAAATTATTTTTGGTAGCTGCTACTTAAAATTACTCATATACTTTCTTTAAAAATGAAAGGTTCCGCTTCCTCCTAATGGACAGATGCCAGGATTTGGACTTCTTCCTACACCTCCATTTCCTCCCATGGCTCAGCCTGTGATTCCTCCAACTCCACCTGTGCAGCAGCCTTTCCAGGCTTCTTTTCAGGCACAGAATGAGCCACTTACACAGAAGCCTCATCAGCAGGTAAATTTTCATTCTCATGTTATCATTTTGGTTGTTGTGACTTGTATGCAGATTTCTAATTATTTGCTTGCTATTTTCATTTTTTAATATGAAGAAAGACCTTGGGCATGTATTAACTCTGCTCCAAGTTTCTCTTCTGGAAAATGGACATCCTAATACTACCAGCTCCGTAGCATTCTGTGAGGATTGAGATCTAGTTTAACCAGTCCCTGCTTCGCTACATTAGACGATGGTTTATTAAAATAGCATGTAACTTAACTAAACAACTTAAGAAGTAGAGAAGTATTCTAATCTTATACACCATATAAACTTTTTTTCTTGACCAATTATTATTTAACTGGTAATTTCGTCCCATATAACCAAAAAAAAAATTGCTTCCAGGCAAGAGATTTTTAATTTAGCATTTGTTAGATTTTTGTCCTCTTGCCTTTGTAGTTTTCACTTTTCTCATTTTATGATGTTGTTTTTGTTCTTTAAGGAAATGGAAGTAGAACAACCTTGTATTCAAGAGGTTAAGCGGCATATGTCTGATAACCGAAAGTCAAGATCTAGGTCAGCATCCAGGTAATTTTAGAAAATGCTTTCCAACCCTTTATGTCTTAGGAGACATAGAAATTAGTATCAGTTGAATTATTTTCAGCTACTCAGATTGTTAATAAAATGACAGTTGGTATATTTGTATTTCTACTTGTGAAGAAGGGAGCAAGTGAAATAATGATGGAGGGAAAAAAAACCTAACGTCAATCATGCCCACAGTTTTTCCATCTATTTGAGTTGCTCTGATGCCTGTATATAGGTATACAGTGTTTGATATTTGAAGACTTATATATTCAAAGTTCCTTTACAACTATATCGGCCAACAAAATGGGAAAGATCACAGTAATGCTATAAGCAGATTATGTTTTTAATTGCTGCAGAAAGACTTTACTGAGAAGGTAGATAACAGTAGTAGCCTGTATCTCTTTTTTTTTTTGAGTTGGAGTCTCACTGTCATCCAGACTGGAGTGCAGTGGTATGCTCCCGGCCACCGCAGCCTCGACCTGCTGGGCTCTGGCGATCCTTCCGCCTCAGCCTTCCAAGTAGCTGGAACTACAGGGGTACCTCATGCCTGGCTAATTTTTTTTTATTTATTGTAGAGACGAGGTCTTGCCAAGTTGCCTGGGCAGGTCTCGAACCCATGGGCTCAGGCAATCCACTCACCTCGGCCTCCCAAAGCGCTGGGGTTACAGGCTGAGCCACTAAACCCGGCCAGTAGCCTGGATCTCAACCATGACAATTAGCTTCTTACACTGCAAGGATGGAATGTAATACAATACCAGAAGTGCTGAAGATGAGAGATGTTTTTATGGCTAGCAACCTTATTTATTTTATTTAAATAGCACATGCTTTCTAACTTTGCACATGTTAAAAATTCCCTGCTATTGCATTCTTACCTATCCAAACATTAATTAGTATGCGTTTCTATTTTCTGTTTTTCTCCATATGCCATCCATTTTCCCTTCTCATGAAAACATTAGGTCACCAAAAAGGAGACGATCTAGATCTGGTTCTAGATCTCGAAGGTCTCGGCATCGACGTTCTCGATCTCGATCCAGAGATAGACGCCGACATTCTCCCAGATCTCGATCCCAAGAAAGACGAGATCGTGAAAAAGAGAGGGAACGTCGACAGAAAGGCCTTCCTCAAGTCAAACCAGAAACTGCAAGTGGTAACTAAGCCTTTATATTCAAACTTTCTATGCTATTTTTTCACGTCTTGGGTTTAAAATAGCAAAATCATAAATGACATGTTACCACTGTGTTGATTTTTATTCTAAATATGCTTTTTCATGTCTTATTAGCTCTCCTTAAGTAGCTCTCCTCTGCACAATGGAAAGGGTGTTTTTCTAAAACAACTACTACCCCCTTACTTATATAAAGATTTATAACTTAGAGAATATGTTAGCTTGCATTATGTTCTGAATCTCATTAGATGTCTTTAACATATATTTAGTAAGGTGTGCTAGACATATTCATGATATAAATCAGTATCTATTAGTATTTAATTAATATGACTAGGGCATATGTAAGACATCTAACTCTGTAAGGCTTATACCTAAGACACTGCAAAAAAAACAAACATAAACTTTCAAGAGTTGGAAAAGGATGGCCATATATAATGAACAAAACTGTGTTGGTTGGTAATCAGGAGACTCAAGTTCCAGTTCTGCTCCTCATTGGGGGGATGCTATGGGCAAGTTATTGTTTCTTTGGCTTCAGTTTTATAGATTAAATCTTTAGATCTGTCCACAACAGGGCCAAGTTTTTCCAACTCTTATGTATACCTTTCACTGTCCAGGGATTTTGTAGAATTTTTTGAATTGTATGGTGAGATTTACTATTTTAATTTGTGGTATCATAATATAACTCATGCATATTTTGTATAATGATCTTTAAGATACAGTGCTACTCATTATCAAGTGTATTTTGTGATTGTAATTTTATTTTTAAGTTTGCAGCACAACACTCTGGGTAGGGCAGCTGGACAAAAGAACTACTCAGCAGGATGTTGCTAGTCTCTTGGAAGAGTTTGGTCCAATTGAATCAATTAATGTGAGTGTTTATTCAGTTTTTCAGTTACAGTGACAGATTCAATTAATGTAATTTTATAAAATTAAGGACTTGAGCACTTTTTTGCCCAAGTTTATAGGTGTGACTAGAGTTTAGGTATTCTGAGTCCATTTAGCTTGTTCTCCATTTAATATTTCTTGGATAACCAAGTTTAATAATAAAATCTTTTCTGGCTGGGTATGATAGATCATGCCTGTTGTCCCAGCATTGGGAGGCCTAGGTGAGAGGATTGCTTCAGCCCTGAAAAGCACAGGGAGACCTTGTCTTGATGAAAAAAAAAAAATCAAAAAATTAGCCAAGTGTGGTAGTGTATAACTGTAGTCCCAGCTTCTCAGGAGGCCAAAGTAGAAGGATCACCTGAGCCCTGGAGGTCAAGGCTGTGGTGAGCCATGACTGTGCCACTCATTTCAGCCTGGGTGACAGAGTGGGACCCCCTCTCCGTGGCTCAAAAAAAAAGTAATTGAAACCTTTTCCTAAGAAGTTTGTATAACAAAGCTTGAAGGACTCACTTGTTAGTTGAGACCAAACTTGAGTTGCCAACTTATAAGTGAATTTAACCCTAAATTATATATAGAGCACTGGCTAGGGGTGAGGATTAGCGTTGTGGGAAATGATTACTTGGTATTATATCTTGTTGCTCCTGAATTTTGTTGTCATCTTTTGTAATATTAAAATGTTTTGGACCAGATGATTCCTCCCAGGGGTTGTGCCTATATCGTTATGGTTCATAGGCAAGATGCTTATCGTGCCCTGCAGAAACTGAGCCGAGGAAACTATAAAGTGAACCAGAAATCCATAAAGGTACAGTTTTATACATTATAATTCATTTTGTAAAAATATGCTATTGTTATATGTCTTTTTTAAAAACTATGATTAGAAATGGCTTTTGACCTTGAGAAATTTCATGTGCATTTTTGTTTAAGAGGTTGTCTCCTAAACAGAAATGCAATGTTTAATTAACAAAAGATTGTTACATGCATGGTAGAATTTTGGTGGGTTTTTTTGTTTTGTTTTTCCCAAATGTAGGTGAGTTCAAGGTAAACTGGTTAAATTAGTGCTTTAAATATCATGTCATTTAGTAATGTATGTCATCTTATTCACAAAATTTGGATATTTCACATTTTATTTTTAAAGTTTGCCATCTCACCTTAGAATTAACTGTGAAAAGCATTCACCAGAGATAGGTACATAGACATTCTTTTTCTAAGGAGCCAAAACCACTGTCCTGGCACCCTGTCCTAGCCTTGGATTGTACCACAAAAGGAATTTGTTTAATGTTGGTAATTATGAGATACCCATAGACTTTTAAAAGTAGTCTCCAGTATACCAGCCTCTTCAGGAATCTTCAGCCTTTCCCTAATATGTTTCTCCCTTTTCTCTAAGTTTATGATGTCTAAGTTGGGTGGGAGTTGGTAATAAGCAGGTACTCATGCAATTTCCATCCTAAAACAAAGTGGGAATAAAGGCTAACCAGTTGCATATTGAGAATAAGACTTCAGATAGGATCCAGAGCTAGCTGATCCAGATTGCTCCCTGGCTGCCCAAGTTGGAATGAGTAGAATGATGGAAAATAGTGAATTCTCAAGGCTTATGACCTTCTTTTTCCTTTCTTCCTTTTTAATTTTTACTAATGATGGAATAGATTGCCTGGGCCTTAAACAAAGGAATAAAAGCAGATTATAAGCAGTATTGGGATGTAGAACTTGGTGTTACTTATATTCCGTGGGACAAAGTCAAGCCTGAGGAACTGGAGAGTTTTTGTGAAGGAGGAATGTTGGACAGTGATACACTTAACCCAGGTAAAGCTTATTTATTTGCTTGGTAGTACATATGAAAAATTAGATTTCCTGTTTATTCTTTGCATTAGGAAGTGTTTTTTTAGATTTTTAAGTAACCCCTTACATATCAATCTCTTCATCATAAACTGAGGGCTGAGGGCCTACTATATGCCAGGCATCTGGCAGGCTCTGAACCAGGATATACAGAATAAGGCAGTGGAATCCAGTGGAGGATTCGTTGAAGATGTCAAGAATATAGGAGTCTCTGATGAGCATTGCTGCAGAGGACAGAATGGAAAGATGGTTTTGTTTTTCACTTGACTGAAAGATAATATGGAAATAGGTGGAAGGTTATATTGGCTATTAGGGAAAGTTTGTCCAGGAAATGTTGGGTGTTTCATTATCTTCTTTTTTTTTTTTAGTATACTTTAGTTCAAACAATACATTCTTGTGGTTGAAAACATAGACACTTGGTCACGCCTGTAATCCCAGCACTTTGGGAGGCTGAGGGGAGAGGATTGTCTGAGTCAGGAGTTTGAGACCAACCTGGGCAACATAGAGAGACCTTGTCTTTACATAAATCAAAAAATTAACCAGACGTGGTGGTATGTACCTATAGTCCCAGCTACTTAGAAAGCTGATGGACGAATCCCCAGTTACTTGAAAAGCTGATGGACGAATTCAGGTTGAGGCTGAGGGCATGATTGTGCCACTACACTCTAGCCTGGGCAATAGAGTGAAACCCTAACTCAAAAAAGAACATAGACTCTAGAACCAAATACTCTGGATTGAATCCATTCTTGCCATTTACTATGAATGTGACCTGGGAACATTACCTTTGCTTCTCTCATTTGTAAAACGGGAATAATAGATAATAGTATCTATTTGTAAATGGTTCTGAGAAGTAAATAAGTTAGTACGGTGCCTGGCACATAGTAAGCATTCTTTGTTTTCTGTTGTTATTCATAATTTAAATAATCATTTCTAGATTTAAAGTTACAAACTGAAAACAGTAAATTCTTATCATTAATTTCTTTAATTCTCACAGATTGGAAAGGAATTCCCAAGAAGCCTGAAAATGAAGTTGCTCAAAATGGAGGTGCAGAAACCTCACACACGGAACCAGTGTCACCCATACCTAAACCTTTACCTGTGCCTGTCCCTCCTATTCCTGTTCCTGCACCTATAACAGTGCCACCTCCACAGGTGAGAATATTTGAGGCACTGTTTAAAACTTAAGTGTCTGAAAGGTCTCTTTTTAAAATCTAATTGTAGATGTATGTCTAGATTCATAGTCAAAAACAGGAGCATATAAATAAATGCATATATTTTTTATATGTTGGTATATCAGATTAATTTATAAACTCTTTAGCATTATTTTCATAAATGTTAATAGAACCAGAATAAATTTATATTGCCTTATTCAGGGTCTTACTTTATAATGTCCTAGACCTAAAATGGGAACTATTAGAGTTTCATATATTCTGATTACTCTTTTTTTCTTATTGGATCTTCTTTCTTCAAGAACTTTATGTCCTGAAGAAACCTGGTTATTTACTCAACGATAAGCTGCTTTGAGGGAAAGGGAGTTTCTTTTTTTTTGTTGTTTTAAGTTGGAGTCTCATTCTGTCGCCCAGGCTGGAGTACAGTGGCACGCTCATGGCCACCGCAGCCTCGACCTGCTGGGCTCAGGCAATCCTTCCGCCTCAGCCTTTCAAGTAACTGGAACTACAGCCACTCACCACCATGCCCAACTAATTTTTTGATTTATTGTAGAGATGAGGTCTCACCAAGTTGCTCAGGCTGGTCTCGAACCTGTGGGCTCTGGCAGTCCTCTCACCTTGGCCTCTCATAGTGCTGGGATTTTATGTGTGAGCCACTGCACCCACCAGGGAGTTTCTTAATCTTCAGTTTGGGTGCTATCATTATGAGATTTTTTTTAATGGATGTTTATACACTAATAAGTTGAACTCCATTTAACATGAACATATATTATTATAAAGCCTCTGCTGTCTTGTCAACCACACTGTTACTTTAAAAGAAAGAATCCAGGTTCTGGTAGAACTGGGTTTGATTCCCAACTCCATTGTTTATACTCAGCGTGGCTTTGGGCCAGTAACCTAACCTCTAAGCTTCAATTTCCTATCTGTAAATGTGCTGATTTCCTTTCCTGGACTTCGTTCTGGTGTTTCACCTATGTCAGAGTTATTTTGAACATTAAATGACATAATGTAAAGTACTCAGCAGATTTCCTGTCATATAATAAGAGCTAAATAATGAAAAACTTCTGTGAAAATTATAAGTACTTTATCCATAGTTCTATGTGTGACCTACTAGATTTTTCTTGTCTTTCAGTGTCTTCCTTCCTCAGTTTCTCACATTAAATCTGAACTGTCACAAAAATGGGTTGCATGTGTGCTGCATATTCTTTTGATTTTTCTTAATGTGAGGGAAGAATTACATCCTTAAATCCTTTCTCAATGTGAGGGGAAAATTACATCCTTCAGTGTACATCCTTAGCTGTGATATTTTTTAAATGGACTCCCCAAGTTTGTACTCTTTAGTTGACCTTTTGGATACGCTGTTCCAGTGCAGTTTTTTAACAAAATTTAGCGTATATCAGCACTCATTTAAAGAACTTGACTAGTTTGTTAAAATTTATCTTTTTAAAAAAAAAAAAAAAACAGCTAACATTTGTCAGGTGTAAATATGTTAAGCTCCAGGCACTAGCACTTACTATGTATTAACTCATTTAATTCCCATGTGTCATAGAGTATGAGAACTCCAGTAGATGCTGATGGAATACAGTGTGGACTTACTGTCATAAACTAGAGAGCACAGCTTTCATTTCTGTCAGTTGAGATGTATATAGGTTAACAACTGCCTGTTATTTAGTAAAAGTATTGGTCTAGTAAGCTCACGTTTAGAAACTTCTATTTTTCCAACAGTAAGCTATTTCTTACTCATATCCCCGTACGGGTGGGAGGATGTCTAGAGGTGGTTTCACTTTTTTGCTCTCTCTGTAGGTTCCGCCGCATCAGCCAGGTCCTCCTGTTGTTGGTGCTCTCCAGCCACCTGCTTTCACGCCTCCTTTGGGAATTCCCCCTCCAGGCTTTGGTCCTGGTGTTCCTCCTCCTCCACCACCGCCACCATTTTTGCGTCCAGGATTCAACCCTATGCATTTACCACCAGGTATACCAAGTTATTTAGGAAGACATTTGTTTTAGAGCCTGCAATTAAGTGATGCAGCATAAGCTGACATTATTTTTCTTACTCTAGGTTTTCTTCCTCCTGGACCCCCACCTCCTATAACTCCACCAGTATCCATTCCTCCTCCTCACACTCCGCCAATAAGCATCCCAAACTGTAAGCATGTTTTTCCTTGGTGTTCGCTTGTCTTCTTTGCAGCTGGGGGTAGGAGGGAGAATGAACCAGTAATAGGGTCTATGGCAGAAGAATGTTGGCCGGGAGATAATTAATTATTCAGCTTCACATGTTGATATAATTATATTCCTTAGCTACTATCGCTGGTATAAATGAAGACACTACAAAAGACTTATCTATTGGAAATCCCATTCCAACAGTGGTGTCTGGGGCTAGAGGAAACGCCGAGTCTGGTGACAGTGTGAAAATGTATGGCTCTGCTGTGCCACCTGCTGCACCCACGAATCTGCCCACCCCTCCTGTAACCCAGCCTGTTTCACTTCTTGGTAAGTTAACGTTTTTGTCATTGGTTCTCTCCTCCCCCAAGGCAGATTTTTTTAAATACAGTGTGAATTTTGGTAAAATGTCCAAGACTGATTTTTTTTTTGTTGTTTTTGCTTTTTGAGGAAGATCTTCCTCTTAAGTCAGATATGTATGCTTGGTCTTTACCAAGAGACATCCTCAAAGAGGAAATCGTGTTTGTTTTGTCTAGAATAAAAGTTTGGATCTGCACATCTTAATTTGGTATAGAAGAATGATTAAAGTAGTCTCTATGAGAAAGTATTGTTTCAAAATCCATAATTGACATATCCCAAGTCTCTTCCCCACTTTTGAAGAGATACTTCTTTGAGAGCATAGGTTTTTCTCTGTCTCAGCCAATTTTTATTCAACTGAAACCCCTGGACTTTAGTAGCATTCTCTGTGGGCTAGCAAGGAGCTCATCTTTGACACATTGCTATAAAATGGCCTTGACTGAGTGAGTTACACAGTCACCTTTCCCACTCACCTTCAGTTTTCTTTGGCTGGAGTTTATGTGTTGTGCTTTACCCACAACTTCACTACTGCCATCAGGAGAGGTGTGACTTAGATTGTTGACATCTTTATGAGGGCTCACCTTTGTTTGCTTAATTTACAAATAAATATATCACATTCTTATTATAGTAAATCATCTTTTAAATGAATAAATTCTTTTATTTGAAGTAGTATTGCCAAGTATAATTAACACTTGATTCTCCTAATTGGGAGTTAATACTTTCTGACCATTACAAAGTTGTAATCCTATGAGCCCATTGTATTTTTCAGAGGTGTATTTGTATGCATGTTTGCTTTCATAACCTGAGATTTTTTTAGGAAAGAACTCATTGGTTTACCTCTGAGGTATAGGACTGTGGGACATTGGTTTGTGATGGAGAACTTTTACTTTTCACCTATACCCGAACTGTTGGAAGTTTTATTTTTGTGCATGTACCACATTTATAATAAAAATTCAGTTTGTTTTTAAATGGTACACTGTTTCTGCCCTTCCCAAGACTGAGTTTTAGTCTGATAATAAACTTTATTTTTGGGTATTGGTAAAAGAGGATTTAGGGTTAAACTTTATTGAAAGTAACGAAGCAATGTCGTTATCTTGATGGAAAATAATCTGTTTAATGAGGAAGTTGCTTAAGAGATCTGCATTCTAGTGTTAATAATGTAGTAGAAGGAACATTGGACTGGGAACCTTACCATCTTTGGATCTACTTTGTTATGTACCCCCCATATTAAGATGTTTGCACAAGAATCAGAGAATTTGAATTGGATAGCATTTTCTGATCAATCCCTTCTCTCCACATTACCACAAAATGATTATGAATTCACTTCGAAATGAAATTTCCTTGTCTAGGATCCATAGATATTAGGCCACTTGAGACTGTACAAAATTGTATGTGTTTTTGCTTTTTTCTGGGCTTAGTAAATTTATTGAATGAGTGAAGAGATTTCATGATCTCCAAGAGTTTAGTAACCACTGCTTTTAAACAACCCTAAAGAGTAGTAAGTAGCCTGCCTCCAATTTAACATTTAGTTCTTGAAGACCCTGCTTTTTTAATTTTTTTATCACTGCTGAACATATGATTTAACCTCTGCATCCAACATGTGAAACAAAACACATATCAGAAGGTGGTAAGCTTGGAAAAACAAACTTAGTTAGCTTAAGCACTGTTAGAAAAATAATTAAATTCCCAGTGTTTCTTTGCTTTTATCATCATCTTCTCCCCACTAGATGGACCCATGAGAGAGGGGACATTTGTTACATGAGTAAGGGCAGATGACTGGGTGGTTTTCAATGCAGGGCTGTTCATATTTTACCTCTGATGATTAACTTTGTCCATAACTTTTAAAGCAAAACTTAAAAATTGAAGATTATTCCAAATCCAGAAAAGCTTAAAATTTGACAAGGTTAAAGTAACAGTTTTATTAAAATAAGCACTTTTAACTGAAATGCAGTAGTTTAGTCCCAATCATGAGAAAGAAAGCCTTCCATGTGCCTTCAGTCAGCATTCTTGAAGAGATTATCACAAGTTTTGACCTTTTAGATAGATGTGATTTTTTTTTAATGTGTATGCAAATAAGGGGGGATTCATCCAAAGACTAACTGCAATTACATCATTTTGATAAAGGAATACAGTCAGTCAGTCACAGTGCAATACTATAGCTTCTGTAATTACGTTGGGGTAGCCAACTGATAGAATGCTAGAACTAAGATGTTTTCAGATTTCCTTTTGGTGCTCTAATATTTTCTTTTAATAAAAAGAAATATTATGCTGACCAGAAAACCTTAAGTCTAAAACCGATACTAAACTTTAGTTTCCTCATCTGTAAAGGAGAATAAAAATGATACACCGGGATGTTGTGATGATTCAATGGACTAACATATATATATATACACACACACATACATATATATATACACACATATATGTGTGTGTGTGTGTGTATATATATATATCTCTCTCTCTCTCTCTCTCTCTCACCTGACACAGCCTGCAGTTAGGCACTTAGTGAACGGTGGGTACTGACTACGGGTAAGAAATGTCATAGATGATATTTAGAATAGAACACCAAGAGAAATATATTTTTCAGTTATAAAATCATATTTTAGCTGTGATTCATTTTAAACTGTTGTGTTTGTTACCAGGCAGAGGAAGCAAACCTTTTAGGAAAAAAATGTATCTTGACATAGTTGCTGCAGGTATTTTCAAGGTAGATTAAACCAGATCATAAGTTCACCCATATTAAAGTTTCGTCAGTTGATTTACCAAGATACTGGGTTAGTTATAGAAGTATTTCATTTAAATAGCACAACTTGATAACTATAATTTTTCCATTGAGTGAGTCTTGACTGAGTTCTTGGATCTGAATTTGTGAAGTGTGGCAATATTTAAAGTAGTAGGGTCCAAACAGTTGTTCAACAGATCTCCAAAAATTTTGTATTGACACCTAATTATACTGGGAAGAGGTGATAGGGTACCTTAAGGATAGTTAGATGTAAATAATTTTCTGTATCATCAGTCTTAAAGTGTAGATGTTAGTTTAGGGGTAATGAGCTGGATTTAGGTGGTCCACACTATTTAATTTGGAGGGAACTAAACCTCCATCTTTTATATACTTTGATTATTTTAATAATACTGATTATTTGACAATATAAAATTACTTGATGCACAATAATAATTAATTATTACTTGATTTTCAAGAAATCTCATATAGCAAAACAGCTAGAATGGTGGTGGTTTCATAAAATCTAAAGATAACATTCTACAGTTGTCACTTAGGAAAGGAATATGAAAGATGATAGTGATTCAGTTCATTCTCTTTACTGTATAAGTGTCTGTGTTTCCTTTTCAAAAACTTTTGTATGACATGTATCTCTACTATGATGTACAGCCTATATTTATTAAAAAGTTCATTGTAAATGTAAAGTTTGGGTTACTTTGGTGTTCAGAACAATAAAAAAAATACACAAAAAATGTTTGTTTGTGTTACCTATCTCTACTGTGTTACCAGTATTTCCAAAATATCTTTTTAAACAAAAATTATTGCAGGTTGAATTCATTTTTTTTATAGAAAATTAAAGCCTCCTCTTGAAATATATATTTATTTGCCAATTAGCAATATGAAGAGATCTCTCTCCCCAGCTTTTTGTCATACTACTGTAGACGTTGGTAAAGTTTCTAAATGAGAAACAGATATTTGTAAGACCACTACATGTAGTTTTTGTGCTAAAGGTTTTAAAGCAAGAGTCATAAAACACCCATAAACTGAGTTGCTAGGCAGTAGTGTGATGACACACATCAGTCCCAGCATGGCCTCAGTAAGCATTTCATTTGATGATCCTAGTTTTGGACACCTCAAGAAATTGTGTGGACAGAATTGGTTTGTGAATTATATTTAAACAAATGTGTTTGTTTTTATGCAGTAGTTAATTGACTCCTGAAACTCCCTAGAAGATGCATAATCATATCAGCAATTTCAATAATTGCTTTAAAGTTGGTACTTGGTTTTGGTAACTTCACTTAGCTTTGGATATCTCTGCCCAGTCTCTGTCTAGAAATTATGGAGTTTTTTTGTAGCTCATAATTTTTAGTAACATTTAGTTTAGAACAGTAGAGCCCCAATCTACTAGGAGTAATGCACTAGTTTCCCACTAGCACTAAAAGAAAGCCTGAGGGAAACTTCTAGAACTAGAGTTTTAAAAATACTAATATACCTAATTTTTGAAAAGCAATTTTTACATTTCAGTATTTGTTATTATTTTGAATTTTGCTATAGTTACTATATGGTTACATTAAATTATAAGCTAGAGGGTTATACCAGGTATTTGATTTGGTACCCCAAAAGCCTGTTGACTTTATCCTGTACTCTTAAGTATTGCATTATGGTATCCCACTAGTTTTACATAGCAGAAATGGTTCTGAAATACAAATCACAGTACCTTCAACTCGGTATATTACATTGTTCAGTGGATACAGTAGATAATTCAAAATAGATTAGTTGGCAACAAATACTTGCCTTGGATATGAATTTATGCATGAATATGCTATATTTTCTAATAAGCTGAATGAAGCATTTCAAACAAAACATAGGGAAAGACTTGCGCAAAAACTTGAGACTTCTTTTTACATTTCCTCCATGTCCCCCTGGGGTTCCTAGGCTGCTGTTGAATGCTAGCCTGAAGAGTGTCTTAAATTTCAGTCTCTTGAAGGGACATCTTGAGGAACGTGGGAGGAGCAGAAACTAGGCTCTAGATTTATTTTGGTAGACAAAAATATTGCTGTGAAGAATTTCAGGTAAGACTTTTTTTCCTGGTGTGTAGGGAAAGTGACCATAGAGAACCTATTGTACATTGTTTTGCCAAAAAAAAAAAAAAAAAAGGAGTCATTTGAAAAAGATAATGAGCCTCTGATTTCACTTGAAATTGTTTTTATGTATTAGATGTTGTCAAAACATAATGTACCCTTATGCTAAAAAT